AAATCTATCAAAAAGAATCAAATAACTTTTTGATACTTGATCAAATCTATTGTATATGTGTGTCGTCTTTGACCACAGGAAACCCTTAGAAAGAGAGCACTATGAGTTGCAGCAGCATCATGAGTTGTACATAGGGTTTTATGTGTCTTGTGTTATAAACAACAAACAAATGTAAAATTGACAGAAAACAGCTCTTCGATTGAGCTGAGGTTAGTTTCCGCTGAGTCACGTGACTTCCATTTCCATTGTTCAGAAATATAGAAGGAACTTGCAGGGACTGGAACGAAAATTCGAGAGAACCAGGAATTTCACACACCCAAGTTCAATACAGCGATGTTCGACTGTTATCAGTTGTTGCAGGATCATGAGGGGTACATGTTTTTTTTTTGCATCCCGCGTTAGGTTTTATACCAGGAGCCGTATAAAACATAAACAAGGGATGCATTAAACCTCGTGTAACTTGAGGGAGCCTGCTACAATGAATTTTTCTTACTGACGTTTTAATATGACATTGTAAAAGAAATAAAACTTTCAAAATTTATGGGAAACAGCGGTTGTATTGAGCTGAGGTCAGCTTGTGCTATGTCACGTGACCTTCATTTACTCGGAAAAAGTGTGCGGCTCTTCAAAGCAGGGTATAAGGATTTATTCCGCCTCTTAGAAATCCATGTGCAGCCTGTCTTGTTAGTGGCAGGGTATAAGGGATTTATTCTTCCCCTGAGAAATTTATTTACCTCAAAGACAGGATACATCATATTTTATCAAGATCACATGGACCAATTAGATCTCATTATTCTGACATGGAGACATGGGTAAATGCATGTAAATGTTACTATGAAATATTACAAATCCTTCGCTTAATCAGAATGAGCATTTATTTTCCACAGTAAAATAACTCTGAATGCCATTTGAGAAAGTAAAACTATGGAACAAATTTATTTTTATTTCAACCTCCCCATGCGAACTAAAAAATAGTTAAATAGAAGTGAAACCTTTTCTATAACCATAAGAAATCTCAAAGCAGAGTCCATTGTACGATTCTGACTATATCCCAAGCTTGTGTTTTTGAATCACTATCAAATAGTGATGAAACCAGGTGTTCCGGAAAAGGTGAACATATCCTGTCCAACTTGTGGGAAGATAAAATAATAATTTTTTTTGTTCAACCATCTTCTCCTCGGAAACTCCCAGAAATATGAAGATGAAACTTGACATATACCAGTATTTATTGAAGCATCATACCTCCAGCTGTTCTTTTTTTATAAGTGTTTTTCTCTTGCATGTGCAGAATCAAATGTGCTGACATTTAACATGGTTATATTTGTCATATCAAAAGAGTCTTAAATTGTGTTGTGTCAAAACTGATAGTTCTGTTTTTGAGAAACAGTTTGGAACAACAAAACAATATTCTTTTAGATATCTTTATTAAAAATGTATAAAACTCTTTGGGAAAAAAATATCACACTTTTGAATGGCAACTAGGCTATGCTGCAAGACAACATATTGTTTCAGATTCAAACAGTATTGATGTTTGACATTTGTCTATTATTGTCTTCAATTCCCATAAAAGTGAATAATAAATTTATTTTTGTAGAAGTAAGTTGTGCTCAATGTTTCCATTTTTGTATTTTGACTTTTGAGCTTGATCATACTTGACACTTTTTATTGATAGCAACTTCTTTTATTCTTTGTCACAACGTTATAGCGCTACTTCTTGCTTCGATCTTCATCAAGTGAATGCTTAGTATTTGTTTGTTTGTTCGTTCATTGTTTAACACCTCACTCAGTGATATTCCAGCTACATGATGGTGATCTGTAACTAATTGGGTTTGGACCAGACGATCCAGTGATTGACATCCTGAGCATCAATCCACACCAACCAAGTCAGCGAGCGTGACCACCCGATCCTGATAGTCGCCTCTTATGACAAGTGTAGTCTCCTTTTATGGCAAGAACTGGTTGGCTAAGTGAGTGAGTGAGTTGTGTTTAATGCCGCTTTTAACAGTATTCCATTATATCACTGCATGTCAGCTTAATGTGGGAGGAGTGATGCCTGAAGTGATGCAGGTCTCAGACGTTTATCGCTTCGGTGAAACCCACGAGCACGGGTATGGTGCTGAAAACCTAGAAACATAATCGGGGTGAACTAGGATTCAAACCCACAATCATAGGTTTCTGGCGTGCCCAAGGGATGCAACTCTGCACAGCGAATCGTGGTGCCTCAGACGACTGGGCCACCCGTGCCCCAGTTTCGTTAAAACCTATTCTGAAACTGCAATTATGACATAATATTTCCCTCATGCTTGTTGTACGAGTAGATTATATAATGTAACAAAACTGTTTCGGTGGTGTATTTTACTGAGAAGGTTGATTGGCAACATCAAAACAAGGGAATTGGGCCAAGAAGTTTAACTTCAGCTTCAGGATATATCAATGACCTTATATCTTCCAATAATGGTCAGATAACCAATTCTCTTCTGCTGATTTACCCACTTGAATGAGAAATAAAAGGGACCAGTGAGACCACCTCATCTGCTTCATTTGTAGATTTATGCATAAAGATTCAGAGTGACAAAAACTATCGACAAGACTGTATGACAAGAGGGATGATTTCAACTTTCCAATAGTCAACATTCCCATTGTGTCTGGCAAGCAGCTCCAGCCCTTGGTGTCTACATTTCACAACTTTTGAGGTACAATGGAGCATGCTCTTTCTGCAAAGAACACCTGGACTATTTCATGAACTATTTGATTGTGAATCATAAACACATGCTTATGATTAAGTCGGATATAGTGATATAATACATTGAAGAGATTTCTTATAATTATGGAACAGGTTTTATTTGTATTAGTAAGAACCAATACAAAAGATCTACTGCATTGGGCATGTGTTTGACAAACCAGAAATGATATATCAGTAGACTGGTTTGAGGTTGTAGCTCACCTGTATTTCTCCAAACAAATGATGATGGTATCAGATGCTACTGGTAAGCCTGGATAAGTTGAGTTGTGACCTGACAATTAACCCTGTATGACCGACCATGTATGAGGTCCATCCACTGGTGCACACTATTGTGAAGGAAGGGGTATCGTGTGGTCTGCGACATGTAGTACAATGGATGTGACCTGGGTAGGCTTACAATGAGTTCAAGTGACAATTTCAATAGCACCAACCTCTTAATAGTCTTATGAGCAAAACGTGTGTCCAGATGAGCGTAGTAAATTTCATTGTCATAACCTGGACATGCACAACATGCGTACTCCCTCTCATCCTGTAAGAAACCAAATATGTTTGCCCAACTTTTGTGTACCGCCAACTTGTCTCAAACACAGTTTGTGAGTTGATTCAATATATTCTTGATTACCAGTAAATATGTGATTGGATGTAATATTCTCTTGAGCCTTTTAGAAATGGGGGTGAAGGTGTTGCTTGTGTTTGCATTATTTTACACAACGGTCATCATTACTTCCTTGAGATAACATTTTTTTTCACATTTTTATTTTCACCATTGTTACTGTATTCTCTTTATACATAAAATAAACAAATGAATTGACTATAGAGACGTAAGCATCTGTTTTTGCAGCATTTTATGTCTTTTGAATATATGATAAGGTGAGCAACAGTACATTGTTGTTTTTTCATCTGCAAAAGGCGTTAACATCATTACAAATATGTAAATAGTATTATTGGGTAGAAAGATGCACCACTAAGTCATTCCTTGGAGAATTTGAATGAAAGATTTTTGAGACAGTTTGATTCATGCAATTGAACTTGATACTGATCCTGGTATTACAATATTAATTCACTGATATTTAAAAAAAATGAATTGAAATGCAAACTCTATTGACACGCTCATTTTCAACACTATTGAAATCCAGTTTATTGAATTGAAACAATGCTGCTATAAGTTTTTCTCAGATATTTATGAGAAAAATAACTGTTAACAAAATGGACCAAATGTGTAACAGGATTAGTTATTCCTGCAAGATATCAAATTGAATCAACCAATATCCTGCATGTCTGAAAGCGTAACCTTTAACAGAATTAAACCAAAAACGTTGATGGCTAAGCAGCAGTATTCACATTTGTATCTCTTACGAGAAAAGACAGAAACATGCAAAATGAAAGTGACAGTAATTTATAAACACATGAAAATGCAAAAAAATGTTTGTCTTTTTTTAAAATAATGAAATGAAAAGTTAAGATCTTAGTTCAGTGTGTTTAGAGATAGAATTTGCGTGTTTGTACCCTCAGAATGTTTCCCAAACTTACTGATTTTTTTTTTAAGAAACTAATTGCCTATCTTCAAATAAACAATTTTTAATAATTGATCAGCTCAATATTAATCTTTTTCGTCCAGTTTGGTAAATCTTATACATGACAAAATACTTATAAACTTTGTACACCGCTCTTGTTATTCAAGAGATGAATCTGAAGATCCACTTAAGATATTAAAACGGTCATAGATTTTTCAACCATATTGAACCCAACTTGTCAGTAGAAGAGACTAGCCTGTGAAAAAAACTGTGACAGCAGGCATTGATATTGACGTGTAAAATGGGATGTAGATTGCCGTGTATTTCCATTACATCTAAATCAATACCAGCTTCCTCTTGTCAGCTAAGCATCATTCCTACAGAGCATGACTGTAAAACTTGCAATTGGATTCTTCTCCAGCAGCCGCTGTTGGGCTATCTAACAGTTTCATGATTCCTCTCATCCTCCATGCCTTACAAATGCCTTGTAGCAGTGTACATCTGCAGCTTCACCTCGTGTTTCAATGCTGGTATCATGTATGAAATGTACGTGTTTAGTTTTTGCCCCTTTTGCTGTCAATCAAACACATGAAGCATTACGATTGGTGTTTTATCAACTAATTGATTCACAACCCTTGTGGAACCCTCCACTGAAGAGGTATTGATTAATAATACCGGACAGGCACTTTAACCAATCGGGTGAGGGTCTGAACTGCAAACATTGTCGAGAAGACCGATCCCTCTAATCCCTAATCAAATTTTTCCATTGGCAAAGTTTTCGTCAGCCTTGTGAGTGTGTACTTCTGTCACCGGCGTTGCCATTGGCTGACCAGTCATAAGCATGGCCGTATTGTCTGCCCTGATTCTGATGACTATACCTATTCCTGATATGCTGATAATGACATTAGGCCCTAACCATGTATATCAATCATTCCAGCCCTGTCAAGCTATACATACGCTCTCTGTGAAGCCCCTCTCTGCAGATCTGCCTTAGGAGCAGACGGACAATTTAAACACCTGTGCAACAGAAGATCAAGGCTATAACTGGCACTGCTATTGGAAGAAATTTGTTAATGGAGATCGCTTAGAGAAATCTGTGCCTTTGGAATTGTCAGACATTCATTCACTTAAACTTTCCATTCAACTTTTTTTGCCTTCAGAAAAATCCTGAAGGTACCATTGTCGTCGTCTGATTTTGACTGTTGAGAAAGTCGGAGATGTGTTTGTGGTAATTGTGCCTTTGTAGCTTTTTTGTGGCCATCATTACAAGGGGACAACATTGGAAAGATTTGTCAACTGGAACAAATGGAGAAGTGTTTGTCTGCTATTTTCTGGCAGATCTGAAGACTATCTTATACAGTGAGGAGCTTAAGTCATCCAATCATGCTTTGCGGTTGACAGGTAACTCTTCAGTTCCGAAGATTTCGAAACTCCTGTCAGCTTCCTTTGACAGTTGGCCCTCCATACAATATCAGTTTAATGAGGAAAAACTTCATTTTTGTCAAGTTTGTGTTTCTGAAAGCCTCAAATTGGTGACAGTCATATTTTCAGGACGATATTATTGCAAAGACTTTGACAATTGTGTTGTCGAGAGACAGTGAGCAATTATTGATCAGAACTCATCGTGTCTGCCTTCACGATTCTGGACAATCCGCCTCCCTTGTCAACTGAGGTATTTATAAACAAACATTGCATAGGTTTGTGTTAATGGGACGGCTGCTAATATACCTAACAAGCTCACACATCTATGTCATTACAGAGCCTGGACGTGCTCTTGCCTTTCAGCTTTACATTTTGAAAAATTCCAGGTAAGCCTATTTTCATTTCTCTCTAAATGTCAATGATTCCCCTTTGGAATGTTATTCAGTGGGAAGGATTTAGGCTCTGTCATGTTTTGCAATGGGTTAGTTAACAGACGAAGGATTGTATGGTAGTCATGGTGTTTGGGTTTTGAAAGAAGTTATGTCACTAATGAAATCGGATATTTCCAGGTCCTGTGCACGAGTTGATTAAGAATAAATGAGTGCCTTGAAATTGGTGAAACACAATTAGTCAATTGCATTGATGATGGATTGTTCATATTGTGTTGATGGTCTTGATGGAGATAACAGTAGAGATGATGCTGCAGTGGTTGTGTATGTAGTTATTATGAGCATGTTGGTTAGGATGTTCTATTTCATTGTATCTGAATTATTCACCAGTAATCAAAATTACACAGAAGAATGAAAATTCTGTCCATACAGAACCGATGATTTCTTTTGTGTCAATTTGAAATTATCTCCCTCTATACAGTTCTATTTATTTGAAGTAAAATTGAATATTTGAAAACGAGAAACACTGCCTGGAAGTATAAGAGAACTATCAAAGATGGGTCTGATGAGAGCTGATTATCTGCTTCAGGGATGCTGTATACACTGGCTGCTTCATGATAACTGAGCTTCTCTTGTCTGTGTGTGAAATGTTTTAATGACATCAGTCTGAAAAACTAGACATGTTCTTTCATTATGTCAAAAGTTTCCAAGCACTGAGGTATGTCATGACCTTTTGATGCCCCCGGTTCGATGTAGAATACTCCATTGAAAAGTGTTTGCTTGTATTCACTGAAGTTATATCATTCAGTTTTATTCTTTGACGTTGATTATCAATCTTGTAGTGTAAAAACAGGTACTTCTAATGAACAAGCATCAAATGTTGAAGAGGAAAAGCCTGCAAAGTATTATTCATTCAAAGAATGAAGGCATTTACCATTTGTCAATTATTGTTTGATGTTTGAAAAAAGTGCTGTGGATTTAAATTACACTTGACAAGCCAACAAGGAACTGGGCACTCTGTGCAAAGTGCAAATGTGGTCCAGTGTTGGCAAATGCACAAGCATGTTATTCTGATCTGCAACATCAATACATTTGGTAAATATATTCACAGATTTACGACATCATCGTGATTGCCTAAAACACTAATGTCCTTCTGAAGCGTGTCACATTTGTACACACTCATGTGCATCTCGATCTCTTCTCAACTTCGCACTTGTCCAGAGCAAGAAATCATCCCGTCCACATGCTATTTACCAGATGGTGACACTTTGAAATGCTGTGAAGGTGTTCAGCCATTGACAAGAATTCCCATGATTGATATAGCTTTTAGTGCTGAGCAGTTAACACTACCTTCTCCTCGGTGAGAGTATCCAGCATGTTAACTTCGTCAGCTTTGTAACAGTGAACTCCAACACATCGGAACATGTTCGTGGCTACTTGAAATTGTCAGGCCGAATTTGACGTGAATGTGACTTCATTAGGAGCATGCATTCTGCTCCATGTCTGAACCATTGTAAGGATGCCCTGGTCTTTTTTCTTGTGTAAATATGTCCTTGCTTAGATTTGTCCATAGAGCTGAAAGGAAGCTCTAGCAATGTCCATAGCTTGGGAAGAAACCTTACAGTTAAGGCTTGTCTGAGTGTGAGAAAGCTTAATCAGCAGAGCCTTCTTCAAAGTTTCTGCTAAATGTTCTCGGCATGTGTGCCATTGTAAGGGAGTTTAAGGATGGTGGATCATATTGTTTGCGAATTTGGTCTGCGTGCATGTCATTGTAAGGGAGTTTTAGACAAGTGGATCAGTTTGTTGGTGATTTTTGGGCGGCATGCCTGTCATTGTATTAGAGTTTCGAATGGTGGATCAGATTGTTGGTGATTTGGGGGCATGTATTGAATTGTGAAGTTTAAATCTGTGCATGTATTATTGTCAGGGAATTGAACATTATGAGAGGCTTGCCTTGAGCATTGTCAGGCAAGTTAGGACATTGCTAGGAGTTTAAAGCATTGTAAGGAACTGTGAGTCATGTATGGCATCATTGGTTAAAATCTGTATATTTAATAACATTATTAGTGATTTTAAGATGCGCTTAACATTATGTGGTGTGTGTCAAGTACCATCAGAAAACACCTTCTATGTCTGTATTGCCAGGAAAAATCACTTTCTCTCATGATGCTAAGATACCTAAATCCCACATAATCAGTATATGTTATTCTTTGCTCTGCACAGGAATCTCTAAGGTCAGTTCTTGACTTGTTCATACAAGAGTAAGTAGGATCTAGAATTGTCATTATTTTTTCTTTCCAAAAACAATATTCTGGCATTTAGCTTTGTTAATTGTTGGACATTTCTGTTGGTCAGTTGTTGGCCATAATATTGTAAGAATGCAATCAAACACAGCCTCTTTACAAGAGTTTAAACACTGGTTGTCCCCAAATCCCTCAGAGGCAAAGCTTTGTGATTTGTCCATTTGTAAATGAGCTGCCCTTATCCAGTGTGTGGAGTTAGCAGGAGATGAGACAAGTGTACTGGTTGAAGGAAGGCAGTAGTGACTTGTGCACCACTCTCTTGAGAAGCTTGTAATGGGGATATTATTGTCAAGCCATTCACTGCTTTGTACTTTGGCCCTTGTGTCGCCATGGCACTGAAGGTAAGTCCTTAACACAAAACTGTAGCTATCACTGTGTGATGATATAGTGGCTGTATAATGTTTGTCTATACTTTGAGCAAATGTAGGCAGCAAAGTGAACCACATAAGATTAATTTTCTGTTGTCAGGAACAGCAGGCATTTCATTCAATACCCATTGTATTATTGAAGCAAAATGTGTCACATAGCTTCTACCATCCGGCAGTGCAGTGATGAGGTTATCTCAGTTGTGTAATGAATTATAAAGTATTTCTGCCTGACTTCTTGCAGTGAATAAGATAGGTTTTATACAATATTTATTCCATTCTAAAGATGCGTCACAGCCCCAGACAACAGGGGATGTCACACACATTTGCCCATATGTTGAACCTGATTACTCTGTCTACAGCATCTTTGCAGCAGTGAATTCATTCCCTAATCCTCTCACAGTTATTTTACTTCGCACTCGTGAAGTGTTGAATTGGTCCACACTATCTCATGCTCCTCATAAAAGAACTGAACTTAGCTGAGGGTTGGGTAAAGGTTGATTGCTGTGGCCTTAAATACAGTTTGCTGTTGATGCCAAAATCTATTATAGACTATCACAGGTCCAGTTGCACTGGTGTGATTTCATAAACAATTTGGGAGGGTGGATGGTAGCCTGGTGGTTAAAGGGTTTGCTCATCACAACAAAGACTTGGGTTCGATTGTCCCCACCATGATATTGCCGGAATAGTGCTCGCTCGCTCGCTCGCTCACTCACTCACTCACTCACTCACTCACTCACTCACTCACTCACTCACTCACTCACTCACTCACTCACTCACTCACAAACTCACTCACTCACTCACTCACTCACTCACTCACTCACTCACTCACTCACTCACTCACTCACTCACTCACTCACTCACTCACTCACTCACTCACTCACTCTCAATGTTGCCTGCTCTTAGAAAGAAGCAATTTGCATGGTGTGTAGCTATGTTGTTTTCAGACCTAGATTTTCAAACTAGCATCTTTAAGAATTAGTTGAAAAGTTATTTGAAAACTAAACAAATTAAAATGGATGTTTTTCTAAATCAGTGGTTGTAACTTCATCTCCCATGACTTCAGAACTTAATTCTGTACTTGATAATTCCATAGCTTCAGAATAGAAAATAACTAAAAACTGTCATGAACTTCCTAATGTAACAATGTTTCAGAAACTGTTAGAAGGGAAATGAAATTGGTGTTATCCTTTTGAGCCATCCTGTCTCATAGTGTTGGCCACAGGAGACCTCCATCAGACAACATATCATGCAAGTGTTGTTGGGGGAAATCTTTGATTATGCCTGTCATTAGCTTACAGCCACTGAGTGATGCTTAAGAGTCACTGTGCAACCAGTGTAGACAAAGCTGAGGAAAATAATGACCATGTTTAAAAGGCATTGTAATCTGAACTTTAAGAAGGTAACATTTTATGTATCTGCTGATGGTGATTCATCAATACATGCTTATGATACAGTCTGAATTGTACAATGGACTCTGCTTATAGCAGAGATTGCTTATGATCATGGGAAGGCTTTGGTCACTCATATTTATATTCAGTACGTATTATTTAAACTCACTGCTTTCAGAAGATAACACTTCATTTGCCCGTTTTCTGCAGGTAACATTTTATTACTGTTTCAGTGGTATAAATTTTCACTGGGCAATGTGAATTCATTTTGAAGACACCATAAGCTTCATTTAAATGCAAACCGTGTGGCTTGGGGTCTCTAGGATAACACTTTGAGCTACCACATGCACATCATTGTTCAAACAGTGCAGGAAGAATAAAGTCTGTGCAGGTTTTGCTCCTCTTTAGTGCAGGAAGGATAAAGTCTGCAGGTTTTGCTCCTCTTTAGTGCAGGAAGGATAAAGTCTGCAGGTTTTGCTCCTCTTTAGTTCAGGAAGGATAAAGTCTGCAGGTTTTGCTCCTCTTTAGTGCAGGAAGGATAAAGTCTGCAGGTTTTGCTCCACTTCAGTGCAGGAATAATAAAGTCTGTGCAGGTTTTACTCCACTTTATTTAACACGTGTAATATTTCACAAACTGAATGAGTTAATGAGTTAGAACCTCTCCCAATTCGTATTTCATGTTACATCAACCCTCACATGTTAAAAGAACTTAACAGTGTTGCAGGGTTCTGTTCATCCCCTGATTGTACCGTCTCATGCAAGCCCTCTTCTCAATTTGCAGAAATGCTGATTGTGGAGGGAGGATTCCAATGTTAATGGTATGACCGGTTATTTGTGTCTCTTTTGGTAATGGAATTAAATGTCCTTGGGTTTCCCAGACAGGCCAGCAACAATTGATGTCACTAATGATGCTGTCCAGCTTCTAAAAGGCATATATT